ATCATCCCATTGATTGATGAAGACGAATGCCCGTAAACGTGAAACTCCCTTCCTCAAAGGACCCAAAACTGAAACGTGCCCGGAGTTGTCCAAGAACCTCATGAAACCTTCGATCCCCGCCGCAAATCCCATCATCAACATGTGTCCCCAACACTCCATGACATCGTGAACGGCCCTTAGAGTCTCGCTCGGTTAATGAAAACAGGCAAGGGTCCAACGGACATTGTTGAAAACCCAAAACAAGCAGTGACTTCCGCACAACTCCTGGTGCCAGAGGTAAGGAGCATCTACCCTACCATAAGCCCCGCCTACGAGTTCGCACTGATCTTGGGGACCCATACTTAAAGCCTCTTGAAGTTCCGGGGGAGCTTGGATTCTCAGAAGTCTGCCATCACCCTTTCCATGCAGAAAGGCTGCGCTAATGTCAAAAGAGCACAGCTTCCAACGATTGCTGCAGATCTTCTGAAGCAACAGTTGGCGGCCATCTTTTGAAAGTGTTGGTGCATCATTGGCTACATGATCAATATCAGGATCCTCGAATCCCAAAACTACCAATCGTGCTTTAGCATTACGACCGTCAGCTGTTTCTGCATTGTTTGCGTCAGCCGTCTTCCAGGTGTATATTCAGCGACAGCGCGTGATGTTTTTCTCCGGGATTTTTCCTTTAGCCACCCTCTTAACCGTGCGATGGGAGAGCCAAGCATGAACCTCCTTATTCTTAGCTGCTGCAAAACGCTTCTGATCCTGAACTGTAAGATCCCGAAGACGAACCTCAGTGCGCTTCTTTCGCCCTTCACTTGCCAGAAAAATCATGTCCTCATCAAGTTGAGCGGGCAGTTGCCAACTTTCTGGGGGGGTTACATCAATTTCCCAACAAACATCACTACCACAAACTAACGCATTACCAACCTCAACTTCATCCCCAAACTCAAGCTGCTCGTCCAACTGCTCGACGCTGCATCATCATGAAGAGGGACCTCCCTACTTTGGGCTTGTTCTGAGAGCTCCGAGTCTGTCAAAGGACGAGGACACTCCGGTAAACTGGGCACGCGTGCATTGCTTGATTCAGATCTCTGCTCTGAAACAGGCACCTCAGGTAAACTAGGGGATTCCGGAATCATTTCAGCGTCTGGTTCTGAACCCTCTATGCCCTCTACCGCAGGTTGTTCCAACGCGCCGGTTGGAGGAACTTCTTCCCCTTCAAGGTCCACATATTGTGGTGCAGACTTGAGACGATCCTTGAGATTGCCCATTTGCACCAGTGGGTTGCCCTTGTCATCCTTGGGAATATTCTGCCACTCCTGGAGAGAAGCAGCTCGGATTTGTTCGGGACTTGCCCGAATCAGTCGACCGGAGTGACTGAGCCACACCACCTTGGACTTTTCCAAGGCAATGATCTCTGCTGGCCCACGCCACCGTCCGTGTTCTCTGCGCATGTTGCTACCACGGCGACGCCAATATAAAACAAGGTCGCCAACTTCCCACTGATTCCGAACGGGTCTGGTCCTCCGAAGGACGGCTCTTCTGAAGCTGGAGCTGTTGTCCACTGTAATGAATGCCCTTCGGGCCCTTTCACGCAGCTGGCGCTCTTGAAGAAACCTCTGTCCTTCAAGTACCCGGCCGCCTTCTTCAGCGCCGCTGTCGGCAAGCATGTGTGAGGCCGCATTTTGGTCTGAGAGAATCGAACCCGGTAAACGACATGATACTCCTAGTGCTGCTTGTTGTGGGCTGTAGCCATCTGCCCGACACAGACTGTTTTTGGCCTTGAAAGCTTGACGCGAAGCCCGCTGAAACTCACTCGAACTCTCAATGCCTTGCTCAAGGTCCACGCGGCTCAACATGTGTTTGGTTGCTGACCCATGTATCTCAGCCCGGCCAAGTTGCCAGTGCGAATCACTAGCAGACATGTGGACATGTGTCCCGGCAACCTGCATTTGTGCAGCCCAGGCGTCTGAGACAAACTCCCCACCCTGGAGAAGACGATGCTGGCTCTCTAAGGTTTTTTTGCCTTCTTTGTGCACAGTGCCGATTTTAATTGCCGAGTTCAGCAAAGGGATGGCTGCCCATTTCTTGTGGTAATTCAGGCGTGGGGAGAGCGACTCACATTCTATTCAACCGAAGAAGCTCACTCTGCAAAAGCCCTTCTGGACCGCTGCTCAACCAGGCAAAATGCAGGGCAACTCGTGGAAATGAACTCTCATCCGCCGGCAATATCTACCCCCCAGAGTGCTCTAGAATCGCAGCTAGCTGGCTTCTCGCTGACTTCAGCTCCGGAGATTTTGTTGCGCGCTCTTGCTGGAATTGTGTCCCCTCCCGGCGTAAAGCCAAGTCACCTTCAAGCGCTCTTTTGGGTGGTGTGTCGCGCGCTCCTTAGGCCGTATACCTCGAGTCTAAGCTCGTGAGCGCTTGCGTGCCTTGGTTCTTGACGTTTACGCAAGCCATCACTACATTCTGATCCGTCCCTGTGATCAGTGCCTGCTCTGCTTTCATCGCCTTTACACACTATACCAGTGTGTCACTCGTAACTTCGCTGTACGAGCTTCCGGCTACTGCTGGGCCCGTCTGGCTGGCATCCTCACCCGCCTCTGTGACAGGGTCATCTATGTCGGCCACTCTCTTTTCATTTATGTGGACGACTCGACTCTTGTGTGGATTGGCTGGGTGATCTGCCTGGCCTGGATTCCAACATGGAGGATGGCAACAGGGCTTGCTTAGCTGCCCTCCTTCGCTCTGTTGGGGGTATTAACTTTCCCCGCACGGGCAAATTGAACTGGTTGTCTGCCTTGGTTTGTGCGTTTTGCCCGAGCCTGACTCCGCTCTATGCGGACGAGTCCTTGTGCATACCTGGTTATTTTGCCTGAGCAGTTGTACAGCTGCCGCGCATCCCTGGATGAGGAGTTCATTTTTACTGTGCCACTGATCTCGGTATCCTGTCTCTGCCCGGGATCTCAGATTCTGGCTGTCGCCAATTCTGTTGTTCGTGCGAAGGCTGATGTTGCTGCCCATCCCGTTGCCTCCCCGCGGGTTTGGACTTTGGTTGGTTTGCCCTGGTCTCATGCGACTGTCCCATCTCTCCGGCCTCCCATGAGATCACCCTGGCTGGATCTGGGCTTGCTCCCCGGCCTGATGTATTCTGGTCAGCCCCCTCATGCAGTGTGAGGCTTGGCCTGACTAACGCCTTTGCAGATCCTTCTTTTGCGGGTCTTGGAGGCGTTGTTCGGTTTCCTGGGGATCAGACTCGTTACTTTCAACATTCTTGTTTGCCCTTGGCCTGGCATCTCTCGTGGACTGGTTCTATGCTGCCCCCAGTAATTGATTGCTTGCTGGGAATCTGGGGCCTGTCTGCCACCTACTCACCCGTTTGTCCACGTTCATCTGTGTTGCGGCAACGCCGTTCATGGAAAGGCCTCTCTAAAGCCAAGAGTTTTTACCACCTGTTACGCTGCTCTCGGCATTTTCGGGAAACCATCGTGTCTCCGCTCACACTAACCACATCCTTGGCATCCTGAACGACTTGGCTAATCAGCTCAGTCGCTCCTCTGCCCCTCTGCAGCTCTGCTTTGCGCCAGGGATGTCCGCTCCCCTGGCCGCAACTTTCTTTTCTGCCTCAACTTCCAGATATTCAAGTCTACCCGCCTTGGCTGCACTGTGAAGAGTGAGGTATGAGGCTGCTTCCTGTCCTTGCGGGTGAATCCACTGCACGGGGTTTCAGTTATTGGTTGGCTCCTGGATGCAGCCCCGGACTGCCTGCAGACGCCTCTGCCCGGGATTACACTGGTCCCGGATTTTGCGTGTGAGCTTTCTGTGAACTTACCTCCATGGAACTACGAATTGCCAGAAAACAGGAGCTAGGATTTGCGACAGCGAAAATGCCGCAACATGCGACAATTCTCAAATGTGCCTGTGACACCGCAAGCGGGAATTCCAGCAGAACAGGTGCCGTTAATGATACATCATCCTGCATCGGAGTGGCTATCGAGTCAGCAGAATTTTTTTTCACCATCTGCTTGCCACTTCAAGGTTGCTCAGAGTGGCAAGACAGTGTGACCGCTTTCCCGCGCAGGTCCGCGTTGTGCTGCTCATTTCTTTGAATAATTTCCTACTTCAAGATGCTGCCATGCAGGTTTGGCAAGCCATGCGAGCAGATGGACGCAGAGGCAATGGTATCTTTTGATGCTTCTTGTTCGCAGCCACCTGTGCAGCATAATGCGTGTTTGCAAAAGCAATGCGACAGCCAAGCCATATATTGACAAGCCACAAAGAGGTGAGGACAGACGTATTTGAAATCTTCTACTTGCCATGCTGGCAGAGAAAGTACCACATGTCACAAACGTGCCTTCATATGTTACTGCTACAGTAGTGTTCGTACCTGCAAGGGGTGTCATTTGTGCATCACGCAACGGCAGCGTTTTTGCCCAGTACCTGGCCATCCTTAGGTTGATTGCATCATGTCCATGTCCAAGGAAGACGCTTCACGCTCAAAGCAACAATTTTCACTCCAGGAGCGGGAAACCTGGATGGCTGTGATTTGGGCATATGAGGCAGGCTGTCTTCAGTTTGATTTGTGATCCTGGGTGCACTTTGCCTTAAACTCCGTTCTGGCTTCTCAGTTTTCTGAGGCAGCTGATGTACCTTGCAGCCCTTTCCAGAGGCTATATGCTCCGCATGTGATGGCTTGTGAAGAAATGCGATGCTGCAGTGCAGGCAACCGCCAACGACACTGACCCCACGAATGCTAAGGGCAGCGTAGCATTCGCAAAAGGCAGCATCCGCAAAGGCTTTGCCGGCACTTTTCTTTGCGGCAGACGATGGATCCGAACATAGCAGATGTCGAATTTGCGCCGCTGGCATTTGGCTCGAAAAGGGTTTGCTCCATACCCTGCCTGCCGTGAGAGAACACGAGTTGGACACCAAGAGAAAAAGTTAACATTCTGTGCCGTTGTGGTGCAGTTCCGCCGTAGCATGAGTTCATCTGTCGTGGAGGGTTTCGTGTGCCACAGGCAGGCCAAAGTCTTGAAAGTATGGAGCTCCTGGGTGGCGAGCCCGTTAAGGTGGAAGTCATCGCCTCAGGAAGAAAGGCATGTGTCTTTGTCCCAGAGTTCAAGCCTGTCGCCCAGGCCTACACATCAGAAGCCAAGGCTGCTGGAAGCCCAACGCTGTCCCCAACCACAGCAGGGCTCTCAAATTGGTCGTGGCTCAGCACCAATGACAACATGACATGCTATGACATGATGTCTTAGCCCGTCAACCTGGAGTTGCCGGTGAAGCTCCGCTGGGCACCTGAGCACTTAAATTTTGCCTTGTGGCCGCGGGAAAGTTGTCATCAGGCCTTGACCATTGTTCCTTGCAAATGGCGCAGTGCGCCTGACAGCTGCGGAGCAAAGCAGCTCCTCCCACAGTGCACACATTTGCAGGTATGATGAAGATGACGAAGACGAGGAGCTGGAGGAGCCACGAGAGTCTTCCACTCCGGCGGACACCTTGCTGGAGCCAGCACAGGAGGCTTGCCTGCAAACGTAAACGACTTCTACTAGAGTCCGGCTTGGTGAACCTGGTGACGCAAGGACTGGATTTTCAACGTTGCCCAGGGTGCAGAATGGTTTCCTGATGTCCTCGGCTGAAGAGCTGTTTTTTTGGCTATTTGCTGCGAACGCATGTCTGTTTGTGAATCAGGTGTGGAACTCCCCCATGACAGATACTTGGGACCCATGGTTCTCACCAAAGCCTGATCCTCAGCTTTCAGCCTCCAGCACTCACCTTTGGCAACTCTTTGCTGCAGTTGACGTTGACATTTAAGGTTGGACTCGCCCTATGCAGATGAGCAGCTCGAGGCTCACAGGATGCTTATAACTTACCGCGGCCCTGAAGCCCTCCCAATGAACAGCAAACTCCAAGCTCGTTGAGAGCATTTTATCGTGCCTGCACTAGGGGAGCAGTAAGTTGATATTAAATTTGTGAGTCGAATTCATGTCACGGATATAGAATATAGAAGGCACAGCCGATCGTAAGTCACCTTTCATCATTCCCAGCCACCAATGAACTGCCTGGAAGGGTCAGAAAACTTATGAGGAGGAGTTCTGCAGACTTCTTCCGTGACTCCCCGGAATCTGCCAGATATTTGACAGAAGATTAAAAGACTTGCAAAGCCCGAAGAGTTTTCCAACTTGGCTTGTGTGGCCTGGCTCAACCACAGAGCAGGTTTCCAGGGGCCCCATCAGCCAGCAGACTGGATCAGTATTCTGTCGTCTTACAGAACAGCACATAATCTTGAAGAGTGGGCACAAGGTTCACGCCACAGCATTCTGCAAACACAGAATTCTCCTGAAAATTAGAGTCAACCAAAACCAATGTCATGTGTTGTTTTGAGCATGTCTTTGCCTGGCATTGCCTGGCTTATGAGAGCCCAAATGCATGGATGTCATAGCCAAAGCACTCGCCAGGCTGCTCTTGCAGCGACGCCGCCAGACTATGTCAGCCTTGGTTCAGCTCTCCATGGAACAGGCACTGCTGGCAAATGTGCAATACTTAAAAATCATCAAAGATGCAGGTGCTTGCCGACCGTGTGCGTGCGTCACTTAGAGTGCTGTGATTGCAGCTGCCAATTTCTGGAGCAGGGGTACTGTTTCATCGTCGTTGAGCCAGACGCACAAAAGGGCTGAAGGATGTTTTTTTTGGCGCCATAAGCCAAGGTTGAGAGCGGGTGAGAAGTATGGTATGGGTTGAGTTATGGTTGGGGTAGCTTTCGGCCTTGACTCATTGGACTCCACAGGCCCAGATTAATCTTATCACGAATTGGTCAGCTGGTACGTGCCTACGTGCTAAGATGGTACTGGAAGCCGGGAAGCTGCCAGAACAAGGAACCCATGTTGCGCAGTTCGCCTGTTGAGTTGCATGTTCAGTTATATGACAGAGATCTGCAGCCAGCAGCACAAATTTCCAGGAGAGCTGCAGCTACTGCCACCTTTGTCCTGAAGGCACTCTGGACTCATCGAGGCTCCTTTAACCAGAGGGCTTGCAAAAATGTGAGCTGAACAGGCGAACTGAAAGCAAGAAAGAAAGCAAAGGCGCGCTTGCGACAATGAGTAGATCCGATTGCAACTTATGCGACACACGGATCTCCCAAGGTAGCAATGATGCGAATGGGTGTCATTACTCCGAAGGCAAGGCAGCACCTCGCAATGTCCTTGAAATTAAGCAAACGGGTCAGGCAAAAGAGCAGACAGGAGAAGTTCTGAATTTGTCTTCTCTGGTGTATCTCGGACACGCTTGGTGAGTTAGATGCTCATGCTTTGTGCATTGGGGTGCGGCACTATGCTCAGGCAGCCCTTAGAGGATGTGCTACTCCAAGTGGCCAGGTGACCAGCTGGTGACACATGCAGCCAAGGGCTGTGAAAGCTGGCATACGAATGCATGGCGTGCTGAGGCCTGTGAGTGCCGTTTTGACTCAAGCAACACCACCGTTTCACCACTTTGGCCTGCAGAAGCGGGTTCTAAGATGACACGCTCTGCGAGCCTGCAATGTGGGGGCAAGCCCCAACCAAAGGCAAATATTTACGGCAGCCATTGAGGCAGATTCAGGCCACACACTGCTGGTCATTGAATCAGCACTCCGAGGTTCATCAGCTTTGACCGGATTTTTGCCTTTGAGCTGAACACTTGCTTGACTGTTCCAGCCCAAAAGCCTCTTTTGGCTGCAGCTGGACTTTGATCTGTGCAACAAAATTTGCATTGGAGCTAGTCGTTACTGGTTAGTCGCTTACCCAGTTGGCATGCTCACAGCTTGTGTGCGGACGAGACAAAGCAGAACTTTCGGGCATTCCTGCAATGTGAGTGCGAGCATAAGTCTCGCAACCACCAAGCAACAGACTAAGACCCGGTTTCACTTATCCTGGTTCCCAACCTTTGATAATGCAATTCCCTTCGTACCGGAAGCTCATGCAATCTTGAGAAGTGGTACAGCTGTATACTGCGAGGGTACTGCCTGAATCCGCTTCTGGTACCTAGGCATCTGTTGTCCTGGTGACAATGATTACCAAGTGTGAACAAAAAACTCAAGCCAGCTCTGAAACTGGCTCATTTTGAAATCAATTCTTTGGTGACGATGCTGACTGGATGCTTGCCGTGTTGCAAATCCACCTCCATGTTGTGACTCGATGCGTGTTGAAAGAGTCCGTCAGTCAGTCTCGTGAGTTGATCACGTAAAGTGTGCAAAGTGCCCAACATCTTGGGGAACTATCAATCCACACGCTCCAGACATGTCCTTGACATGTTGGCTTCGAGATGACATATCACTGGAAAATGCCGGTGGAATTTTTTCGATGTTTCTTGTATGAAATCAGGTTGGCTGAACGGCTTCGTCGAAAACGACGCTTTGCATCGCTGTGTTGACGTGACGAGGTTGAAGATCCGACCAGACGGTGAAGGTGATACAAGCAGGTCACGTATGTCGGTGTGACGTGACAGCTTCCGCCATGCCTGCCTCAGATTTCATGCTTTTGGAATCTTGTGGATTCATGCCAGTGCATGGACAAACTGTGGCATCTCGCTACGTGTAATTGTGTCACCCAGCCACCACATTAGCAGCACGAACTTAGCATTTGAGTTGTCCTCACCGTCTCGAGGCTCATGCCATCAGAACGCAGCAAACCCGATATGTCTTGCAGCCTCGTCCTGGCTTGACGATGGCCAAGGGCATAGATGAGCTTACACAACTTTAAGCCACTAACAACTATCGGATAAGAAATCGACTCGGCAATGGCTATGTGGCTGCTGCTGGCATCTTTCGTGCTGCAGGACCGGTCTCCCGAATTTTCACCATCTTTGACAAAGACACATTGATCCAAGGCCTGCGGCTTCTATCTCCCTGGAGTGGCTCCAACGGAGTACCTGGATGATCTCTGCCTGCATGTGCCATATTGCTGTCAGCGGAGTTCTTCAACTTTTCTCTTTGGCCTGGCCTATCTGTCTCCAAGCTCAGGGCGATCGCGTAGAGCTCAAGGTAAACAAGCTGACGTCAGATGAGAGCTCAGCAGAAAAAGCTGTTCGCCGAGTTTGCAGTAGTTTGCCGTTGTGATGCGGTGTGCCTAGGTGAAGACCCAGCTGCCTTACAGATACTACGCCTTTGAGCTTACACTTAGACCTGCGTATTTTGTGACACGAGTGGAGATCCGTTCATGAGGTCTTGCCATACTGCGTTCCAAAGGACGCCTTGCATTTCGCAGGCGTGAGTAGGTACAGTAAAGTCTTGCCTGGCAGGAGATTCACGTCGCTGCAGAGAACTTGGGCGAAATCCTTCTTGGCGATTCAATTGAGAACTCGCTCTATGATGTCAGGTGCGCACCATGTTTGTGATAACTGCAGAAAACAATCCGCTGCTGCACATGAAGTATCACCCGGATTGCTACAGTACCGCATCATATCATGTTGAGTCATGGCGACGTTGTTAGTGCAGAGTCTATTGCTAGTGACAAGCTGCCCTTGGCATCAGCGAGCTTTCCATGCCGCATCCAGCAGGATGAAGGTCAATGTCTCATGTGCGATGCTGTGCGAGAGGATGCTTGGTGAGGAGGACAAGCATACGTGCTACTCCCATTGTGTCTTTATTGAATGCTTTCCTGACAGGAGAAAAGCGTTTTCAAACGCATGATTGACCACGAATACCAGGCGATACTCGACATGGCCTCTTAAGGAACATTGTGATGTTGTCTGAGGTAAACTGGTTAGTGGACAACTTGCCTGGTGCTGCTTCCCCAGCTCTGCATTCTAGTTGACCTGTTCTCTGTTTCCTGCTTTCCAAGACCATGAAGTACCAGAAGACCAGCACCGGCGCCACATCGTGCGACTGCTTCGATTTAGAATTTTCACGGTGCTCCAACTTCAAAGGTTGTGAAATGCTGGCAGAGGTACACCAACGGCTTTCCTGTTGGCCTCAAGGTTGATGGCAGGTGCCATAAAACACACGCTTGCAGTATTGACTTGGTGGCTGTGCGACTTGACCTCACTCGGTTTAAGGCAATTTTTGACATGTTTGCCTTCCATGCAAGTCACGTTCCCTTCCTTGTGTGGCTGCCAGCTACTTCGTTCACAATCACGTCCAAATTGGGTCAGGGTCTCGGGAGCATCTTAATGGCAACGTTTGGACCCATATTTGGCCGCGAATCCTTGCGTAGCCTCGTACCTGACATCTTGCTGCAAACGCCAAGGCTCTACTATCACTCCAACTCGGAAGAGTTTGACGGTAGCAGAGTTGTTGGATTTGAGGCGCCAGGATTGATGATTTGAAGTTTGACGCTTTTTCTGGCTCCAAGTGTGAACAGGTGTTTCCTCTAAGTCTTCAACAAGAAAAGAGGCGCAACTGCGCGAGCAAAAGTGCACATTGCTTCCTTTGCTTAATTCATTTTCCCAACATTGAAGTTTCTTCGCACAAATTGAGCAGGGGCGATGGTAAACTGACCTGTGGTGATCTTGACGATCCTGTACCGCGCTTTGTGCACTTCTCAGCCATTTAGTCAATCGGCTCTGTGACTTTGTTTGAAAGTTTTAGGTTGATACAGTAGGGAATCTGCACTTTGTGAGGATCTGACAAAGGAGGTCAGCGTCATCTATAGCTACGATGTTGTTCCTGGCTTGGCTCTGCCGCTGTGCGAATGGAACGTGGCACTAGGACAACAGTGCTGAGCTAGGTGTGGATTCCCAGCCCAATCCGCTGGGCTTCACGCTGGGACAGCTACCTGCCCCTGGCTCGGAACGAACGGCTTCGAAAAATAATGTTGACATCAGGAAGAAAGGGGGGCCAGATCAGGCACCAGGATCAAACTATCGCAGGGCAAGATCAGCCAGCCTCCCTGTAGCATTCCGTAGCAACCTGTAGCAGCAGTTGTCAGTCACTGTAAATACTACTTTTCCTTGAAGGTTGGGAAGTTGACTATTTTAGCGTTTTCGTTTTGGAACTAGGGCTTCAGGGGTTTAGGATTTTCATACATTGCTAAATGGCAGGGCCTGGCGTGCAGGTTTTGGATGAGTAACACGTATCAGAGGGGCGAGTTTTCGAGGTTCTAAGAACTTCTGGCCCACTGTTGCAACACGGGTCAATGGTGCAGTGCCTAACCTCGCCCCGCCAGTCGATCCCTGCAGCACTGCAGTCATCTGACAGGAAGATGCACGAGGGCCAGATCCACTGGCCGCTACCTCAGCATGCTGTACATACGCTGTAACTGTAGCTTTCATGCCAAGCCCATAGCTGATTTCTTTTTCCATAATCATAAAGTTACAAGATCTACCAGCTGTTAAAGCTGGGAAACTGGCTTTTGGATTTAGTTGTGTTTGGAACTGTGTTTTCAAAGTGTTCCAGGATTGTGTGTGAAAAGCACTCTGGAATCTCATTGTGTGTGGAAAAGTATTCCAGAGCTCATCCCTTTGGAGCACTTTTTGGGAACACTTTCTGGACAGGAGGGTTCTTCTGGAACACTCTTTGGAACGCTTTTTGGAACACTTTTTGGGACACTGTCTGGAATGCTTCTTATGGAGCTGTCCTCTTGGGTGGGGCCCAGGACAGGTGTGTCCCAGAAAAGTGTTCAGTAAAGCGCTTGGCTCATCCGGAATACTTTTTGGAACACTTTTTGGACGGGAGAGCTCCTCGAAACACTTTTGGAATGCTTTGCTTGAGGCATTTCGGAGCATCAACTCCTGAGGTCAGACTTTGGAATGCCATGCCCCATGATTTTTGGAACAGTCTCAGAACATTTCGGGAAAGCTTACAAATCATCTGCGCATGACTTGATCTTTTACATTCTAGATCTTGTAATCATAAAGGGGGATGGGCCACATTCGGTTGCTTGGTCTGGTGCTTGTCGGGTACCAGGTCAGAAGTCGTGGGCAAAGAACGAAGTACAGGAACCGGCAACAAGAAATGCTTCCTGACATTGCGGACGATATTGGACTACGGCTGCTAGTATCCACTGCCGCGAGCTGTCCAGGTTGACCGGGTCTATTTCCCAAGTCACCCGTTCTAAATCCTTTTGGGTTTCATTTCTGTTGAGCACGCCTGAAAGGTTCTAGGAGGGAAAATGAGTGGAACTGCAGAATGCTTCTGAAAGCTGAGGGTTGATTGCTGCTGGCAGAAGGTAGCTAGCTGGGCAAAAGCAAAATTGTGAATGAACAACTAATGTTGGGTCCTCTGGACGTGTTCATTTGTCTTCCTTATTTCGCAGATTGCCAAAATTAAGGGTCCCAATCGAAGGCAGGCAGACCAGCCCTTCACCCCCTCACCCCTTCGTGATGGAAACAAGTTGCATGCATTGCGTCTTTTTCTTCACAGCGTGGCCCGCTTTTCTAGCCAATTCAGTGCACTGGACTGCAGAGTGTTTGTCCTGCTCAGGTTCTCCATCATCAACTCGCTGATGATAGTTGCTTAGTTCTGGAATTGATGTGGCAGAGTCAAGTGCGGGCGGAGTGTAGTGCGAACGGTCTCAAGCCAGGAACTGTTGGTGCCCCTGCTGTTTTGAAGGTTCTTTTTCTGTCGGGCATGGTGGCCATGATCCTGCTCAGAACGCTACACCGCCCCTTGGCTTAGTCATAGTCTTTGACTTCCTCATGTACTGGAGAGTTAAGCTATGCTGTTTGTGAACAAGGTGACATTGCCAAATACAATGACATGGAAGCAGATGATCAGGGCGAGGACTCCTCATTGTCAAAATGATCACAATGGTGTGCTGTTCTTGTAGAGATTTCGAGAGCCAGGAGACTGGGTGGAAGTTGGTTCATGGAGACGTTTTCAGAAAGCCACCGCACTCAAAGGCGAGCAATAGTTGCCCAGCCCTGTGTCCCATGCAGCAGCATGGGATCAAGGCATTAGCTGTCTCCGTTGGCTCGGGCGTTCGGCCCCTGTGCGATGGAGCTTCCATGTGTGGCACAAGCTTTGCTCTGAATTTGCCTAGGTCCAGCTGCTGGTGTGCTCATGCGTCACACTGGTTTTCTCAGCCGTTGGATTCCTGTCGCCAGTTCACCGTGGGTCAATCCTGCAGGTAAGGTTCAGCACAGATGCAATTCTTTCTATTTCTTCGCCTGCAACCTCGCACAGGGCATGCTACTGCTTTTCACCTTCGCTGGCATTCTTGCAGGCTTCGGGTTGCCTTGAAGCAACATAGCTTCGTAGACTGTCGTTCAAAGGCGAAGGTGACCCTGCTGCAGGCTACACCTCTGCTCGCTTCTACAAAATGTGGAAGGGCGAGGCCTGGCTCTGGGCGAAATGCAGTGCCATCACATCCAGCACCAGTGAAGGACTGGAAGAAGACCACGCTGCTGACAGCACTGCTGCACCCACCTCAGAGTTTAAGTTTAGCTATCCGAATGCCGAGATCACAAGACGCCCTTGCCCTTGCTAAGGTACCCAGGGACAGTCTTCAGCATATTCTTTGTTCTAGATCTCTTCATTTGGGGCTTCTTGACTGCATTGTGGCAACCCAGATGAACAGAGTCCAGTTTCATTCTGCTCCTGCAAACCATGGTTATCCCGGGCAGGAACACGGTCATCTGGAGCAGTTCCCTTCACCACAATGTTTGCCCTTCTAGTTCTCTGGCTTCCTGGCAGCATGAACTACATTCGTGCAGAAGTCAAGCTCGACAAGTATGGCCGTCGTGGCGCTTGTAACAAAATGCGTGTCTGCGGTCTAGCTCTAATCGTTAAGGCCAGCATGGGGAAGCTGACTGCTAGACTGCGTTGGCAGGTTTGGCATATCCGTTCCCCTTGTCTTCCTGGGAGCTTTCTTTGGTTACAAGAAGGCACGCAGATACTCTTGGACTTGATGGACATTCTCATGCTCCAGACATGTGCCGTTGGAGGCGCCGATATCTTTACCCGTGCGCACAAACCAGATCCCACGGCAGATCCCTGCCCAGCCGTGGTACATCACTAGCGCTCGGAGCTGAGGCACATTGCTTGGAGTTGGCTCAAACTAGATCAAACTCGAGCTCGCGATAAAATGCGTGCTCGCGCCATCAGAGGTGTCCTGCACGTGAGTTTGGGATTCCGTGGTTCTCTCCGACCTTACACTCAAGTTGCTTTCAATTGAGGCAGGTGTTTGATAGGGTTATCCAATGAGACGCAAACAGCAGAAATGCCCTTGGAAGCTGGTAAATTTAAACAGCTATAAAGGCCAGGCAGTACATTCCCGGACAAATCCTGTCACAGAACAGGCCAGGCAGAGCTGGCATTTTTGAACTGAATACCTTCACGCCAACAACTTGTTCCATGAAGGAAGATCTTGCACCTGAGTGCTGAAGCTTTTAGCTGTTCCACTTTTCTGGGACCTTTGGACTCACGGGCGCTTTGGGGCTTAATGTGTTTAAATTTTTTGGACTTTTGCTGTTTGCTGTTTGGTGCTTTTCTGCTTTGCATTGGTTTTGTTGCTATTTCACTCTGGCAGTGTGAGGCAGCCATGCGGATGCAACCGAGGCTACAGCAGCAAAAAACCAAGCTTGCAAAGTTTCAGCTTTCTGGCATGTATGTGCTTGTGTCCAAATTTCCTGTGGCTTTGAGACTTCTGACCTGCCGTAGCTTTCGTTCATCCACGCTTCAGGCCTTGTGGTTTGTGTTGCTTTGGCTCCTTACTCTGGGCGAGTTTCAGCTACCGTGACTTTTTCAACTTCAGGCTTTCCTTAACGGCATATATTGTTCTGCCAAAGTGCCTTGTGGGACTCGCGCGCTTGAGGTTTCATTCTGAATTCTTGTTAGTGGCTTCCGGCCACTGGCTGACCGTTCTTCGGCCACTGGCCGAGTGTGTTCGATGATGCAAAGAGGTAGATCGATGCCGCTATCTGTGGAGACCGAAACGTCAAAGGTGCAGAAGTTAAGTTGCTTACGAAGGGCGCAGAACAGCTCCATAGCGCTTAAGGACTTTGTAGTTCTAATTGGAAATTTGGGATAATCAAATTTCCCTAGCCTCAAACTTAAATTCTACTTCACGCAGACCAACCTTTTATCACTGGCCAACCGTTTACGGCCACCAACCAATTTTTTTTGCCATGCAATTACAGTGCGCTAGCGCGGGTTGTAAGAGGATCTAGGCTCTTCAGCAGCCTAGCCGCCAGTGCGTGGGAGTGCCCCGCAGGGCATTCTGCAACTCAAGGATTCGACCACAAGCCTGGCACTTCCTCCCGTTGCACATGTGAGAGGGGGAATGCAAAGGATGAACCCCAAAAAGCCCAGATCGTGCGCTGTACAAATGCATGCAGCCTCCGCCGCACATTGCATCTTGCTGGGACACCATCTTGATGAGATGCGCAGGCCGCAGCTCGCGCAATCTTCCCCCAAACATGCACGGATGGGTGACGTGAAGACGCTGGAGAAACTACGCTTTGGTAGCCAGGTTTGGACCTTGGGTCTTGCCCCTGGCCTCACCGCGACTGCGCCAAAATTGCACTCGCTCAACAATTAAATCCTGCAAGTGGCGGAAATTGCAAAGAGAATCTTGCTGGACAATGCGCTCAAGACTAGCCACCACGGCGGAAGCAACAGAATCAGCCAGGCGGTCAGCTTGAAAGTCCAAACAGGAAGATGACCAGTACCGCTGATGGGAGTGGATCCACAGCAATTGGATCCGCTTCCCCCTGATTTGGTTACGTATTTGCAGCCAAAGGTCCGCATTCGCCTCCAGACTGGATGGACCGATGCTTCTTGAATCTTCTAACACAAAAGAGGCTGTCAGACAGCTGCTCACCTTCAACAAACTTTAGCATGAGAAGTGCCCATCCCTCAGCCCTAGTGACGGTGTGATCGTTGTCAGGGAGCGGACCTGACACACGCCCTAGTTCTTGGCCTGCACCAGGGTGAATAGCCAAGCTATGCCACGCTCCAAGTACAAATCCAATGTCGCACATCCTGGGAGCTGCTACCCCCACTGCCGTCAGCACCAAACACAACATGTTCAGGATATTTCAGGATGTGCGAAGAAGCCCGAAGTTCCTCTCGTCACCCGGACTAACAACAGGGCTTTGCCTCTGAGTCCAAGCCCTGGGGAGGTAAACCCTTTGAACTAGTAAACTTTTTATCGGCTGTCAATGAGGAATTCGTCCCGCTTGGGAGGGGACGCACCGCCGCCAGCATCCTGGCACACTGCCGTAAGAGATGTTTGAGGGTAGCTTCCGCTCCACAAAGGGGGCGCTGCGGCCGCGAACCAAAACATTGCAAAGCGTGAAATGGCAACAAGCAATGCCCGGCAGGGCGTTGCTTGACCACATGCGGGTCCCTGCCAAAGCATTTACATGAAGGATTTCTGCCACTGACAAATGGGAATCTTAGTCATAAGTCTCCAAATTCAATTCTTTTTTGGATGATGGCACCTCCTGATCTGCATAGGCTAGTAGGATTTTATCGCGACTCGTGTCGGGATCATTCCAACATCGATGCAACGCCCCTGTGATGTGTGTGGAGTCCCCTAGCCAGTCTAGCCGTCATTGTGTGGGAACGATGCATCGTTGCTCCGCTTAGACCTTCTCCTGCCTGATTGGCGGGGTGCTCCCATTTGCGGGTGCGCCTTGGCAGCACAAAAATGCGGAGTTGCAAGGCGTTGCACAGCATTGCAAAGCGTTGCGAGGTGGGGTTCTTTCTTTGCGCATTACGCTGCTCGACTTTGGTCAGGTCTTTACCGAGCTTTTCTTCATTATGTCATCTATTTGGCAGCATCAGCTGGGCTCCTGAGCATCCTTCAAGTACCATGTGTGGGGTCATGTGCACGGCAAACATGTCAACCTCATCAGGTTTTACTACCTGTTTGGCTTCCTGATGCTGGTCCTCATCATCCTGGTTGTTACTTGTGCTGAGATTTCCATCACGCTGGTCTACTTCCAGCTGACCAATGAGGTGCCTTAGCTTAGCTGTTCTTTGAAATTACTCGTACATTAATAGGCTGCTGAGGGCCGCTTGTTGCTACCAAGGATTACAACTGGTGGTGGAGGTCGTTTCTCACCAGTGCATCATCGGCTGTGTATGTTTTCGCATATTCGTGTGTATGCCCCAGCTTTCGATACACATGGCATGCGAAGATGCTGAAGTTCTGGTGGCACAAGGTTTGTACTACTTCACGCGCATGCAGCCTGGATCACAGCATCATCGCCGTCATCGACTGCCTCTGATATGACAAGTACAGCTGAGAGTGCTCAGGATAGGGCACTACGTGGGGGCGCTGTTGTATTTTGGTTACATGCCCGGGACGCAGGTCTGAGAATGCTGGCATATTTGTTGGGGTGTGGCTGCCCACCGAGGTTTGTGATTTCTTACACCTTCGCGCTCCTCACCGGTGCCATAGGGCTTTGCTCCGAAAGGGTTTTCAGGGGTGTCAACTAGGTCCCAGCAGGAATCCAGACCCAGGTTTAGCGCGACGTTCTTCTTTGTGCGCACCATTTACGGCAACAAACTCAGAGCACAGCGGCAGACAATGGCAGACGGCTTTTGTTCGCATGGTCGACCTTTTTCTTTCTGGGGAGTTGCAGCAGGTTCCATCAAGATTGACTGACGAGTAGCAGACTTAGAGAATGCTGCTTGGCCTGTTGGAACGTAAAGATGATTCGTGTTCACATGTCCTGCACAGGTCCAGTCATGCCATGCAGGGAGTGACAGACTCGGTGCAGCGTTGCACTGAAGCAGGTGCGGTGACCATACATGCAGCTATGCTGTGCAGCCGCATGCTGGAAGCAGCCCTAATAGTCAGGTGATGATGCTGCACTCTCCAGTTGAGCTGGCTGATGTACATGTTTAGGTTTCCACCTGTAGCAGATCAGCAAGGAATTGGTTGCGTACATGCTGCGAAGAGAGATTTGCTAAAATTCTCTTGCACAGTAGGAGTGGCGCCACGCAAGGTGCATACTCACCCTATGACTCCTAAAAGAATGCACAGAGTTCAGTTCACAGCATTGCGGACACGTGGATTGCGGCAGTGGAGTCCAAAAACGAGCGATCCTAAGGAGGCAAGTCCAGACATGTGCTCAAAGATGCAATTAGCTAGATCAGGGCCTCTGACTGATGGCAGCGTGATGCTCAAGCAAGGAAGCCATGGCACACAGGCAATAGCTTTACGACTTTGATGTGTATCCAAAGGCTGAGTGTTGCACTCATAGTTGTAGTGTTACTTCAGAAAGTTTCGGATGACCTTGCGGTCACTGCCGGCGGATGCCTTAGCCGCTAATTCTGTAGCTTGGGAACCCTCATGATGTGCAAAGGCAGCGCCTCCCGATAACCATGCCTTTGTGGTACAGGCTGAAAACATGGTCTTCTGCCCGCAAAAAGGGATTGTCTGCGTGATTTCGAGAGGTCGCTGTTGGAAAGGCACACTCTGTGCTGCTGACAGATGAAGGGGTCCTGTACAGCTGGACTGCCTGGCTCGAATGCTTGCAGAAAGCTTGCATCAAGCTGTGCCAAACTGGGATTGAGACAGATTTTGGATTTGCCAGGGGCACGAACAATGAGTTCGGGCAGCTGGGTCGTGCCTGTCACAACCAGGTCCCTCGAAAATCAGAAGAAGTGCTGTTACATTTGGTGTTTCAGGACAAGATGCTCAAGCCGGCGCCCATCATCGGGGGCATCAAGTCCCGACCTCATTTATGCCGGCCGTGATCAGCTGAGTGCCAAAGCACGACAGGCAGGAAATCGTCATCCAGATTGCCTGTGGAATGTGCTTCTCTTATGCTGGTGTTTTCTTATGAATCGTATAAACGCGCGGGCAGAGATTTGGTCAATCCTCTGTTGGAGTAGGCTGGAGTACTGAGGAACCATTGTGTTGCGCTTACGCAGAGAGGAGCACTTTTTGCATGGGGCAACAACAAGGCCTTCGGTCAATTGACTGCCTTTCCCTCTTTCGGTTTGAGACTTGCTGATGTTTTGAGGCTGGTCAGTTGGGCGTTGATGGCTTCAGTGCGGAGACCCCCACAAGCGAGCTTGCCTTGGGCTTGGCCCAACTCTGCTCGGTTCACACCAGAAAAAGACCATATGCTCGGGCTGTCAAATGCGCTTTCAAGCGCAGGCAATCACGGCTCCAACTCCTGTGAAGCACTTCGAGGGCCAGGATTTGCTTGTACTCAGCGAGTTTAGCACAGATTGGATCGCTGCAGCACAGGAGATCTCCTTATGTGCGCGAAGCTGCAGTTGCGGCTAGATTCTCAGCGTTTGAGCAGCAGAACCTTTGGAGTGGCTAGCTAGCATAACTCCTCTAGCAAAGTTGCATTAACATTTGTTTGTTTACATCCAGTTGTATGTTAGACACTGGCCTACAGAAGAAAACTCTCCGCCGGGCTGTACAGCACAACTACTCAGGTCCGGAGAGTTCCGCCTGTGTCACCGTGCGTGGTGAGGCGAGACATGCCACAGAGATCCGATGCCCGAAAGACTTGAGTCTCAGGTGTACGTCTGGGGCGCAATCAGCTGCTCGGTGTATCTTACCTTTCTGATTCTGAATTGCTGCTTCTGCAAGCTTCCAGCACAGGCTATTACATGCTTGGAGCGCAGAAGAAGTACGGCAAGGGGGAAAACTGCACCGTGACAACCTTATACTTCCAAGCTTTACAGGAGGCAGCTGGCTTTCTGCCATCATTTGAGCATCGTTGCAGGTGCCTGTATGCATCAAGAACCTTCCGAAGGAGCTTTATGCTCATGATTCCGGGCCCGAGCAGGCGCCTCTCTATGGGCGGTAAAAAGCAGACTTGAGTCACTTTCCAGGTGTCGGTCTACAAGGACCATTGCCCTGCCATAGGCCGTTAATGTTCCCTCAAGCACTTCTGTCTGCCTCCTGCAGCAGGATTCGCTTGCCTGTAGCGTGGCGTTTCAGCCTGAGCTGACTCGCCGCAGGCTTCAAGCAAGCATGCTGGATGCGAAGGAAGCTGAACATTGAAGACGACATGGCGAACCTGATAACGTCTTTGAAGAGCCGATCATCACAGGTTTTGCCCCAAGCGTGGCTGTGTTGATGCGACAGGGAAGATCGCATACTGCGCTTAGCCGAGTTGGTATCCGTCCGCCGCATGAAGAGGTGCGAGACTCAAAACATGCGCCCTTTCTGTATTTTTGAGCCTTCTGCCTTCTAGCGGCAAACGAAGAGGAGGGATCTTGACTTAGTCGACCGCGCGCTTTGTGAAGCTGCTGTCAGGGCGGAGGCGGCAGACAGACCGAGCCGCAACTTGGCTTGCCCATGACATTGTGTAGTGGCAGCAATTCGTGAGCATTCAACCACATAGTGACGGCAAGCAATGGGAAGTGGGACATCATGGGACATCAAAGATAGGTCTCCGCATACATCCTTGTAAAGCAGTCAATTGTCCTGATGTTACCAAGGCAACGACACAGACTTTGATGTTGAGGACGACTGCCTGAAGCTATGCGGCCGTGCACTTGTTTATCAAGAAGGGTTGGTGCTTGCAGGAGCTTCGCCAGTTGAACAATGACTTTCAAAAGCAGAAAAAGGTGTGGGGGACGGACAGTCTTTTCCAGCTGAACTTTTGGGCTGGCCAAAGGACCTGGAGAACCAGATGCATGACCTTCAAAAGCAGCAGCCTCCTCATTCAGCTTTCTTTACAGCGCTTGTGCTTTGCACCTAAGACGTAGAGCCGCGTCCAACAATTTGTGCCTGGAAAGGATTTTGAGGTTGCAGCATAATGCCCGATCACACAGCAGGAGGAGTACATGTGTGGGGTTCTTGCTGTGCAGAGAAGTGGGGTTTGAGGCTTAGCACCTACCGCTTGGAGCTGGCTCGCATGAAGAGAGAGCCGCAACCCAAAAAAGAGGTTCTCATGTGGAGTTGGCTGCGCTGCCACAGCCGTGAGGCTGACGGTTTGCGACCAGCAAGATGCAGCCCTGACGGAGACCGCCAGAAATTTGGAGGCACCAAGAAACACAAAACAAACGCACAGCTGTCTCCTTTTGACCGCCTGAGGCTCGGAAGGATCAAGAGGGGGACACGGCCGCGTCGCAACCTTGGAAGAAATGCCAGCTTGCTGCCTTGCACTAGACTGCCTTTGACGGTTTGAGGATTCGACGAACTCTGGAGACAAAGCTTCATGACATCAGCCACTTCAAATCTTCTAATCAGCGCAAGCGACTGCAGGCTGTGTTGTCGTGTTATCAATGCTGGACTTTTCACTGGTTCTGCAATGCTGCACGGCCAGCTGCTGAATACGCGGGACGAGACAGAGCGAAAATTGGTTCACCTCACTCAGGACTCGAGCGTATCTGGTGCCTCGAGTGCTTAGCAGCTTAGCATGATTTGCCGGGGTACATGGAGGAGTTGACCCTCGCCATGAACAGGCAGCAGCAGGCCGTACCTGGCTAGAAGAGATTTCTGTTAGCGTTTAAGTCACAGCGTGCTTGGCTGGTGATTCTTGTCGACTTCCCCGTTCTGCAGTCTGACAGCCGCGCTCGGATGATCAGATCTCTTCATGGAGATGCAGGCCACATGCAACGATGGCCGCCAGCATGGCAAAGCCCAGCACCACCCCACTGTTTGCAATCCAGCTGTACATGTGCATGAGCTACACTTGCAGGAAGCAAGTCTGGTGGTGTAGTGCGGCGCCCGGCAGTTGGCTGCATCAGGCATCAGCATGCAGACTCGTGCGCAAGAGCTTGGCCATGAAAGAGCAAACGCAAAATGCAAACGCATTGCATTTTGGTGGGTTTTGGTTGGTTGGAAAGGCTGAGGGAACCCTGCGAGCTGAGGATGAAGCTGGGCTCAAAGTGGCGGACATGAAGCGACAGGCCATGCCCATTGTGACACGCGGATGCACATGCGGATGCACACGCGGAGACGAGCGCCGAGTCTCTTCACCCCTCCAGGAGCTGGCTGGAACAGAGCCGGTCCGACTTTCCGGATCGGGGCTGCCGTCTGAGCGTTTGATGTTTTCAGTGTCGACCCGAATACACAAATCTTTTCGGATGTAACGCGTGTTAGACGAAGGCGTTTCAACGGGCTGCATGAGATCTTCGATGTTTCGGAGCGGGCGCTGCAGGTCGGGAAAGCAGCGAGAGATGAAACTCTGTTGTCCGCGCTGATCGTGAAACACGTGCGCATGACTGATTTATCCGTTATCGCGAGACCGCCTCGGCAAAGGCTGTCGAGGGGTGAGAGCCGTCTCGCCGTCCACCCCCCGCCCCGCTCCCCCCAAAAAGAGAGTTATCGAGTGGTTGCTGGTGCGTGCTCAGAGGTATCGGGGGCGCGTTCCCAATTATGCTAATGATGCTGGGGCAGGGGGTCAGCATCATCACCATCATTGCTTCTCCAATCTGAGGCCTTCCGACACCCTCTCGAACTTTGAAGGATTGCTGGCCCGGCTTGCATGCGCCTTGGGCCTGGATTTCAAAATCCTCTGTGTTAATGATGCTTTTTTGGGGTTCTCGGCGGGACCAGAACAATCCTTTCAACATCCCTCCCCCGAGGTGGTTTTGGAGCGGGGTTCGGGAGGGCTCTTGGAGAAGCGGAGGTTGAATCGGCGGCACTGGTGTCCGGCCCTTGGCGGCAGCAGTCGGGAGGAAGGGTCGCAAGATGTTGCAGAGGGGGTCGGGGGCATTGGGGGGTGAAGGGGTTTCGGGGAGGAGTCGAATGTGGTGGGGGTGGAGGGGTGGGGCGAGCGGACTGCCAAAATTGAGGGGCGGCTCACCTCGGCGGATTAAAGCCCCCCAAAACCCACACATCCAAGTTATGTCAGGTATAGGTCAGGTTATATCCTATTTGATCTATTTGGGTACTGCGACCCTTCGGGCTGCATACCCTTCTTGCAACTCAAGGCGTGCCCTCCAAGTTTGCTTCCCAGACATGCCGCTGACATGCCGTTCTGCAGTTCACCTGTTTAGCGGTGCCTTTCACATCATCCTCAACTCCTCTCGCTAGAAACTTTCCCAACTGTCACCTCTTTTGACACAAAGCTGGGAGGGTTTTGGGATGTTTTGGGTTTTCTAGGGTGTGAGCACATGAATGACAGAAATCACCGCGTATCTGCTGTGTTGAATTCCCTAAGCCAGCTCATTTGGAGTTGGTCATCGTTGTTCACGAAATCTGCTGCGGGATCTTTGTGTGCTCGAAACCATCATGCCATGATTAGTTGCCGCTTGCGTCTGTTGGTTGGCCTGACTTATCATCGTATTCACGCTGCAAGTTTGGCTGCTGCAACCTTTGTGTTTGCCGTCGTTGCTGGTCTAGAGAGAGTCACAATAATGGATGCTTGGCCGTGGAAGGGTCAGTGATTGCAAGCTGGATTACTGCACCAAGCACTCGCTCTTGTGAACTTGGCAGTCACACTTCTTCGCAGTTGTTGCGGAGACGAGCGGTCGGGTTGAGCTGGATTGTTGCAGGACAGTTCTTTTGACCCCGAAGTGCATCAGGCGCCCAGCACCCCGAATTCGGTGGGCTGGCAAATCAACGGAGTAACCCGATTGACCCAGCAGCCAGCGGCCTTGGTGTCTTGAGCGGTCTGGCCTGAAGTATCGCAGGCTTTTGAAGAACGAAACTCCCAGCCCGGATTTTCCATATGGGCACCCCGGCGCGGCTGCCCCTGCGTGTGTCCGACGGAAAGATATTCTATTACAAAAGGGTTGTGTTGACGCAGTATGTTCTCAGCTGTGTCCGCAGTCTGCACGGTCATGTGCAAACCCGGTGAAGGACGTTTCCAGCTCCCTCAAAGAGGCCCGCAGGATTTTCAGATGTGGTGCTTGGATTTCATGACTGTCATGATATCCCTGTGAGCAGGTTCGTGCCGACCTTATGCGTTTTCTTGGATGACAAGCACAATCTCTGATAGCGCATGATTTATCACCAGGCTTCTCGACTGCAGTCGCCAGCTCAGGTGCAGCTGCCAGCTCGGGTGATGGCCCAGTTCTGGAGCAAGTGCTAGAGGAGCCGTTGGCTTGTGGATTGGTGCTGCTGTGTAGACTTCCCACAGATTCTAGGACAATTTGGAGCTCCGAAAGGAGCTCAATGCACTGATTCAGGCATCCAGGGCCGCGTGCAGCATGTTCACCATGTTACTGAGAAACGTTTTCTTGCATGCCTTACGGGATAGACTGCGAAGCCCGATGCCTGGAAATCCAGTCCATCAACAGACGCTGAGCAGGAAAGACGAGCAAGAGCTGAGAGCGGAGCCTTTAACTCTGAAGGCCATACCGCTGTTTGCATGTAAATGCCCTGTTCTTGAAATCTTTATCGTCCTGTTTCATTGTTCTTTTGAGGTTCTGAAGTTGCAGAAGAAGGCCTTGCATTATCAGGCTAATGGAAGGGCATTCAGAACGCTCGGGCAAGGCCTCTTACAATTCTTCCAGGAGGCCGCGCTCGTTCTGCCCAAGGGGCCACAAACTTGGCAGACCGAATTCATGGATGCTTGCGTAAACTAACCGGCTTAGCTTGGGCTAAGTGTCCTCTCGTAGCGGACTCAGGTCTGAAAAGAGGACTCAAAAGCCAGCAAAATCGCTGTTAGGGTGGTGAGCCACAGCTGTAGTCCACACCTCCAAAGTGGGGCGTGTCACCCTGGAGGCAATGACTTCCGACGAAAGCTTTGGGTACCTGTTGGCTATCCAGGACAAGTGAGACATGGACGATTCTTCGGAATATGAGAACAGTTGGCAAGGGAGTACCACAGCTTCAACTTGGAAAGCAAGTTGCCTGTACGCAGAGGCTCAAGCTATAGAGGACCATATGTTGCTTGCAGTGTCGTGCGCTCAAAGCTTGGTCGGCACGGTTTTGGTTTTGCGTTGTGGCGTCATGCAACATGGTGTACTGAGATGTACTGAGTCTGTCTGAGCAAGCTGGATCGCCTGGCTGTGCAGCAACACACAGAGACTGTTATACAGCTTGGTGACACCACCTGGCCTTTCAGAGGTTGAGGTACAGCCTTGAAGCACACAAAGCGCTGCCCCGCAGTCCTGTCTGGCAAGCAAGTGTGTGAAGGGAAGGCTGATCGAGTGCACGCAGGTGCAGACAGAAGCTATCCAAAAAAGTTTCCGAACCAGCAAACTAGTCTAGCAGCTTTCCGAAGCACTTTGTTTACGCTTTTCTCCGCAAATGTAATTTGGTCCATTGACAAGAAGTGTCTCAGTGTGTCTCTGAGTCAGAGGTACTCGGAGACTTCGCGGTGGCTCTCCCATCACCGGGTTCAGCTTGGAATGGAGTCACAAAAGATCCTGGCACCGCGCGCATTCAAAACAGGTTTCGATGGGAGCATTGCCTGAAAATGCCATCTCCGTTACGTTCTGCTGAAATTTGAGCCTAATCTTTCGTGCGATGGGTGCTTGTTGAACGATAATCTGCGCTCTTGATTAATGAGGGTGCGTCCCCCGCCCCCCGTCCCCCACAATAGCTTCGACCCAGCATTATAGGGATTCCAGACCATTTCAAGTAGATGTCAATGCATTTGGAAAGTTTTCGTCGATGTGAATGGGGTCTTGTGGTTTAAGATAGAGTTTGGTAGATTTTGATTGGATTGTGCATTGATTGCAATTGGATTTAACGGATTTTCATCAAAACTCATTTGTTCTCACTAGGTTTTGATTGTTTTTAAGCAGAATTTAATTTCGATTAAAATGGTTCAATTAGGTTTGCAGTAAGTTCGATTTTATTGGTTCTAAGTGGGTGACAATCTAAACAGGATGCAAACTTAAATGATCCTGAAGAACAACAGCTATTTCCATTAATCTAAAGCAAGAGCCTCTCATGCAAAGTGCGTAAGGGGTAGCTCAGGAAGCGTGTGAGCCTTCAATTCCTCATGAATATGAAAAAAACAATTCAGGTCTCAGAATCAGCTCTCTTAGTGGGGATTTGAGCTTTCAACATTTAGGCTTTAGCTTTTAGAGTCTTTTAACTCGAAATTCAACCTCAAACTGAAGCCTTGCTCATTTTCTAGGGTCCGAGAATAATTTGCTTTAAATCTAGGGGTTGTTGGAGTTGTTGGGCCCAAAACGGCCTCTGCCTTGAAAGTAATCTTTGACCCCAAATTTTACACAACAGCTTTGCTCTGAATCTAGGGGCTTTATTAATCAAGAGCACAGATTACGTAGAGCAAGTCCTCTAGAAGTGGCCGCCAAAGCCTCTGACCTGCATCATTGAACCTTCGCTTCTCGCACCGACCGTTCCGTGGACTTTGCCCCCTACTTGACTGTTTCTCCGGCCGGCTGTGGCTGTTGCCGTGTGGCATTTGTTCAGACCTTGTAAGGGCCAGCCAGAATCACCAGCATCGGGTCCGCTTCTCACCTCGGGGGCTTCCAGTAACTCGCTGCAGCCATGCAAAACATGTCACAAGGCTCAAGGTGGCTCTTTCCTGCAGACTGGATGGCAGGTTATGAATTGACTCAGGTTGGGGAAGAGGAGCTCTGTGTTGACGGGATTCTGAGCCTGTTTTGCAGTGCAGTCAGCAGCCTTAGGCCTGAACATGGGTGTGGTGGCCAGACTCTGGGATGCCTTTTCTTGTTCCCGGCGCAGATCCACACTCAGATGTAAGTCGGTGTGACCACTATTTCCCGAATTTGCCACTTGGTTGGGACTCTTAAGGACAGGACACTGCCAAAGGTGTCTTCCACTGAGATCAGTGTGGGAGATTCCGTTGCCTGTGAAATGTCATGCCTCCAGGCTCCAGTGGTAGAAGTTCCACCACAGGAAGTCCAGCATGAAGAAGGCTCGAAAAGGATGCCAGCCATCTTGACTTGCGCTGTGAAACGGCCGCATACCAAAGTTGCCGCCCCGCTGCAGTGAAGCAGCCAGATGCGCAAGCACAAGATGCAGCAACAGCGCTCAAGCTCAAGGGAAACGAACACTTCAAAAGGCCGTCAGCCGAGGCTTGAATTTGAAAGGAAGCCAGCTGCAAAAGTCTTGACTGCCAAGGAGTGAGTACCTTGAAGCGCTGGATGTTTACACCCGAGCAGCAGCGCTGACCTTTCAGAGAGGCTGCGTTTGTGTTCAAAAGTCATGAGAAACACACCAAGGAAATCTACATGTATGACGCCAGCATATGGCTGAACCGATCAATTTGCAACAGGCTTGGCTTTGTGGGCGCCAGGTCATGTCAGGAGATGTAGCCCGCAATGAGTTGCCTTCAGAACTCTGCTTGAACACTCTGTACAGGAAGTTGAACAATTTGGAGGACGCAGCGACAGATGCAGAAATCGCACAAGAAATTGATCCAGCCAATGTCAAGGCTCCCAACGGTTGTTGATTCGCCGGCTGTCGCTGAATGATTGGCTTGAGTCAAGCTTGAGGCAATCTTGCCGCTAAGCCAGTGCAAAGGCATACTACAACCGAGCACTTGCTCTGCAGTTGCTGGAGAAGCAGGATGAGGACAAGCGCAACTGGTTTCACAGTTTGCGGACAGGAAATTCCTTGCTGCTCACAGGCCTTGGGGATCTGCAAAAAGGGTCTGCACAAGCAGCCCGACAACAAGGTGGGCCCCTGTGGTGCTTGCAGACGGGGGTGCCAATGAAAGAGAGCCCATACAGGCTCTTCAACAGCTCAAGATAGACCTGCAGAAGAGCATTGCAGAGGCTTTGCTTTTTACTGGCTGGCTGTTTTTCGCTTTTCCTGAAGCCTTGCTGCAGTTGCAAAAGCTTGTTGAGGCCAAAGCTGCATGCCCTGGAGAAGTCGTCGCTGAGCTGATTGTTATCCACGAATCTTTGGAATGTGCCTTTGCTGAGGCTCCGCTCCCACAAGGTCCGGTGAAGGTCACCCTTCCGCGGAAGAAGGACGAGTCTCAAGAGTCCACAACCTAGGGCTCGGGGACGACATGAGGTTGCAGTGAGCATTGGGCATCCGCACATACCACAATCTACCATAAGAATCTTTCACAAGCAGGTCTGATGATGTCTACGAGTGGAAAAATGGCGAGCCTAGCGAAGCGGAGCGCCAGGCGTCTTCCGACAAGATGTTTTGCTGTGGCTATATTTGTGAATACTTGGATTTGTTGCAGGGCTACAAGAAGGCCATGGTTGCGCGGGACCTAGGGTGAGCTTCGGATCTCCTTCCAACTGTGACAATGACATCCAAGGACATGTTCAGATCGAAATATGAGGAATTGAAGGAGAGAGCTGATGCTGCCAAGTCCAAGAGGTCAACCTTGCAGACTGACCACTACGAGGATTCGACAAAATGCGACTTGTGCAATAAGCGTCTTGTAGCCGAAATGCCAAAAGACAACAAGCTTGGCTATGCAAGAGGATGCCCAAAAGCAAAGTCTACAACTTTCTGGCGGGCACAGACCGATGGACAGGTTCCCTTTGAAGCGTTGCGTGCTTGGTGTGAGGAGATTGAGCTTGAAGGCCTGAGAACGTGGAACTTCCTCCTGACTACCAGCAGCCCGTTGGCTTGCTCTCAACGGAGCAGCTAGCAGAGCCAGTCACTGAACAAGTGTTTGCTCTTAGAAGTGACGCGAGACAGCCTTCTCAAGAAACTCCTTTCTCAAGGTATAGCTGTGACAACACGCAGCGGAGATATCTACTTTCTGTGTATGGCAATGTATTTGATGTCTCGGACCGCTGCCTGGCAGAATTTCCTTGCTTGAGCAGGTGCAGTGACATGTAAGATGCATGGCAGAGGTCCGGACAAGTACGATCCCGACGGGCCATATGCCAGCTTGACTGGAAAGGACGCGTTAAGACGACTTGGTCCGACATGTCGGAGATTTGAAGGTGAGCCAGGGGGTGGGGGCCTCACCCTCCACCTAAATGCCCGCAAACCCCCTCCCCCAACCTAGCACCTGAAGTGAAGAAAAATCTCCGATGTGATGTAACCCCCTGACCTCGAGGTCCCCCCCCCCCACCGGGTTTTCTTTGAATGAGCCAGTTTTTGGTCATGATTTTGCAAGTTTGTATTGAAAGATTGGCATGCAGATGTTCAAAGAGTCTCAGAGAAGCATTCTGGCAAGCATAGGGGACAGCATTGGTAAAGCTACAGGCCGATTTCTTCTGGCAAGCACAGCAGCAAGTATTGCTACTAGACCTACACGCCGATTTCTTTGAAAACTGGAGCCGAACCTGGATTTTAAAGGCAAGTTTTCATGTTGTTGACAGCTTGCTCGAGGGAAGTATCTGTTATTTTTGCGCGCTTTCGTGTCATTGACTGCTTGCTCGGAGGAAGCAGCTGTAGAGTCGCAGACTTGGAGTTGAGGGCGAGTGTTGAAAATACTCCCGGCATGTCACTCGCAGTAGCAGGTGTTTGAGTTGCCTCTGTAGAGGAAGGCTACGAAAGAAACCTCTCGGGCCATGTGTATTGTAATTTACATTCACTTTGTAAAGCTGTATAGACTGAAAGGTAAGTGATTCTTTGTCAGGAACTGATTGTTAAAGTATTGCATCGTTGTTTAGGTTTTTTCTTCGTTTATTACTTCGAAGAGGCTCGCCACACCGCAAAAGTGCGCTGTCTGCAATGGAGGTAACACTGCGCGTGGTCACCTTGAAGAGGTGATGAGCCCAGCGCCCGGGCCAGCCTCAGGAAAGCTAAATGGTGCAAACACTACAAGGGAGAACCCGTTGCCCAGTCAGACAAGAGAACTGGCAGGGGATGGGCTCCAGCAAACAACAGTCATGACATCACCACCATCGACTTCTACAGCTTTTCGGGTGCCATCCCTTCTGCTGCCACGTGATGATAAGACAGGAGGCTATGGAACATCAGGATAAGTTGGAAGCTTGGGTACAATTGGTGTTATGTATGGCTCAGTGCCTACGGCGGATATTGCTGATGCGAGTGGGGTGTATGGAGATGTAATTGCAGAGGCCCAGGGTCCAGGTGTGGCCACCATACAAAGTGGAATGGCTAGCTCCAAAATCAACGCTACTGCAGACAACTCAGGGTCCAGGTGTGGCCACCATACAAAGTGGAATGGCTAGCTCCTAGATCAACGCTGCAGCAGAGAACTCAGGGCATAACCTTCCCGCAGCAAAGCCTGAAGGCAGCACTGGTTCAGTGGGATTTGAAGCCCCGAGATCGTCCTTGCAGGGAGTGTCTGCGGTCATAGGAGCGCAGACTCAGGCTTTTGCCACACAGACTTTTTTTCTGGTCAGAGTGCAGTCTTTGTTTACTGGCCCGGCGAACGTGCAAGCAATACCACCGACATGGATGCCTAGTCCTTTGAGACAGTCTCCTGCTANNNNAGGGCCGTCATGTGGAAGCTTCATCCGTTTTTTTGTTCAGTGGAGCTAGCATGCAGCAGATGGCCGCAGTGGAACGTAAGGCCCCATTGTTGTATGGTTTGCTTCAAGAATTGGAAAATCAGAGGGCCAGGGCAGATCATGCCAAAGCTTTGTTACAAGGCCTGCCAACACACAGCCGGTGGGTTTGGGTTCTGTTAGTAGGTTTGGAGTGGACTATACAGGGTCTATNNGGTTGGTTCAGGGTTGCCCAGTGTTCCTCCGCCAATTCCCCCAATGCTCAAAGCACCCTCAAGTCCTAATCCTGGAGCTGGATTTGCTCAAGCTAAAGCTCCTCCACCCGCCGTTGAATCGCAGGGTTTAGCCGGTCCTTTGTCAGGGCTTATTGGTGGTAGGACTAGGTCCCAGGGCCATCAGGACAGAGGTCAGGTGCTGTGCCCGCAGATGCGCAACCAGCAGGGCCTAATCTTTCAGATCGGGAGTTGCTATTAGCTAGTTTGGCAGGGATGCGACAGTTGCAGGGTGTTGTGGCTGATATGCGTGGGAGAGATCGTGATTCGTGATGACAGCAGTTCCCCGAAGCAAACCCGGCATCACAAGTTTCCCTGTGCTAGCTGAGCTTAAATCTGATGAAGGGTCCCTTGCTTATCAGGATTGGTTGCAGACTGTTACTGGACTTGTTGGTGATGTTTCGGATTCAGCGTCCGAGTGGTGGGCTGGTGTTTTGAATGTGGTGGATCGGGCCTATGGGGTTTGGATTTCTTCGTC